ATGAGAGCCTCTTTCAGACAAACCAACTAAATAAAAGATTTAAAATGCAATAACGGGGGCTGGAGAGATGGCTCAGCAGTTAAAAGTGCTGGTTGCTCTTTGAGTGGTCCTGAGTTCAATTCCCAGCAACCATATGGTGTCTCACAACCATCTGTAATGGGACCTGATGCTCTCTTCTGTCATTCAGGAATACATGAATCTTTAAAACAGCGTAATAGCCAAGTATCTATAGCTGCACATGGAGAGTGGCCACCACACCAAACAAAACAGTTGCAGAACTAATTTATCATCATTTTAGTCTAAAAAACAAAAACAGAAACGACAAAGTGGGGAAAAGACATTCCAAGCAAAAGGGACAGAAGGTGGGGAAGTCAGAGGCTGGAGACAGGCTGACTCATCCTGGGACCACAGTGAGGCTGATTGAGAAGGCTCAGGAGAGGAAAACTGGGGACGTGACTGAACAAATATGCAGCAGGCAGATGACAAATGCCTTGTGTGGAATGCTAAGGACTTGAGACTGAGAGCTACGGGAGCCCCTGAAGGATCTGAACGAGAGCCTAATGTCATCTGCTTTACATGTGCATAAGCTCTGTCTGGCAGCCATTGGAGGCTAGATCAGTGGGGGGCCTAAGTCAGATAGGAAGCCAGGGAGCCAGAGCGGAGACCAGTGTAGCCACTGGGAGTAAAGTGAAAAATGAGGTAACTGTGGTGGAGCCCTCGATTGGACAGAGCAGGGAGATGTGAGTGAGGAACCCTGGGGGTGAGCTTATCAGACCCCTAAGAAGTGCTATGTAACACTTGCTGATTTAATGACCTAATTGTGGCCAAACTCCAACATAGAACTGTGTGCTATGCATTGGCCCCTATGTGCTATTTACTGCACAGAGGAAGCAATGTGGGGGCAGTTCTCTTCATCCCAAGAAGCGATGTGCACCAAGGAGGGAGAGCACACAAAATGGAAAGAGAAAGGTTGGCATTCCTGTTCTGTCTAATAAAGAGGGCTCAGGTGAGAAGTACAACCAGCTCATGGGAGATTGTGAGGGACCCTGGGCCCAGCTGTGGTATACTTTTGGTCACAGGCTATTCTCCAGCCGACATGGATCCCTGGGGCAGATTCCATAGCCTGCAGGGTCAGACCATTTCATCAGCAGACACATGTGATTGGGGCAATCCAAAACATAGTCAGTGGAGGTGTAACCGCCAGAGCTGCCTCACGTTCGGGGGTCACTTTGTAACAGCCCGTTCTGCTGCTCTGGTCCGTGGGTCAGGGCCTAGCAAGAGAGAGAGTAGGGACGGAGACTCGAAGAATGGAGACAAGACAGGGAGTCTGATCAAGTCTCGTTTATTGAAAGGAAATCCTGGGTATTTATTCCCTTTACCACGTGCCTTGCCCTCGTGGACAAGCACAGCAGAAGGCACTACGTCATGTGCGCCTAGCAGCGTGGAGACCACGTGCACCCTTCAGCGTGGAGACCACGTGTGCCTTCCAGCTGGCCACACTAAACAGCAAAACAAGATATGTGAGAAAAACAAGATGTTTATCAGAGTGCGCTCAGCTGTTGTGGGCTGTTGAAAACAAGTCTCTTGTCAGGGTATATGGCTCGAGATAGCTGCAAAGATGATAGCCACTTTTGGCTAGAAGTTGGCTCCCAACATGGAGGATTTGTGGCACAATGGACAGGAGCAGATGGACCAGGACTCTGTAAGTACCAAGGACTCTAGAAGTACCCAGAGGGGAATCTGAGGGAGGTTGTAAAAGCTTCAACCACATGAATGCCACATGGAAAACCCCGTGTTTGCACCTGTAGGTCTGGAAAGCTTCAGGCACTTGTGGTGAATGAATGAATAGACAAGATTGGGCAGCTACTTCTTGTTCATTGTTGTCTGACTATTCCCGGAAAAACATGAACAAATGTCTACTCATCCAGTCAAGAAACCAGTGATAGAGATACCAAAGTAGAGATACCACCAACATCCAGTGTGTTAAAGCAATGAGTTTATTGAGGTTACTTACAGGGGCATGGATGGGGGTAACTTACAAGAGCCAACCCTCCCACAGAATGGGTGACAGCTCATGAAAACCAGAAACTGAGAGCTCACAGTACAACCTTCAGGCAGCTCAACAGGTTGGAGAGTGTCTTTTCTGGTGGCTCAAATAATCTGAGTCTCTTCCAGGCAGTTCAGTTGGTCTCTTCTTTTTTTTCAGGCTTTTGGCTGATCTTTGCTTATTCTAGGCTGTTTTGTTTGTTCTAAGCATGGCAGCTGTCTTTGCTGCTTATATATTACTGAGGAGAAAGGGGCCTAGTTAATCTAGTCAGTTTCAGGGACTTCCTGAAGGTATTTTGAGTTGGTTACTTCCTGTTTTAATGGGTTTCCTTATAAGATAGAGTGTTTCACCTTCCCCTTAGAGTATCTTGTCTCCCCACCCCCCTTTTCTCATTTTATACCCGAGTTTCCCTCAAAGATGAAGGTTTTCACCTTGGAGGAACACAACATCATTCATTAGACACATATGTACTGACAGCCTTCCCCATATGCCATGAACATACAAGCATCTACAAAACACAATGATCCCCACCCCAAGAAGCATACAGTCTAATGGTCACACCACTCAATCTCTAGTGCCCCCATCTGTGTGCATGGTGTTCAGAAAAAGCATTGGACTCAAGAAGTAATCTAAAGAGATATTTTATTTCATATGGGAATGATAAGAGGAAGTGATGTGTGAACCCGGATCTGAACAGCAGTCAGCTGGAAAGCACAGGATGTGCATCCTGGGGGGACTCACAATTATGAAAACCCTGGGGAGGGTTCTTAACCATCTGGAGGCTGAAGGGGAAGGATAGTGGAGAAGGGGTATGAAAGCTAGAGGAGGTTGGAGACCTGGCAGGACCAAGTTGGGATTTTAGGTTCAAGGCTAAGTGCCTGTGAAGACAAGTGGTGTGCTTGGGTTTGTCTGTCCAAAGAGTGCCTCAGTGTCTGAGTGGAGAGTATACCAGGCACAGGAAGGAATGCAGGGCAGCAAGCACAGAGGACAGTGCAGTTGCTATGGGAGACAGAAGGGTGCCGTGGCTGGGAGGTGAAGTGGAAGGACTTGAAAAACAATAACAAAAATAAATTTGTTTTAAAGAATTGCAGTGGTAGATTTTTTTCTTTCACACTCTTGTCTTACAGATAGTCACGTTGAAACTAGACAAAATAATTGTGCCATGCAATTATTTTGACCGGGCCGATCTGTCCCCTGTGTGTGCTGTGAGCTGAGATCTAGTGATGCCCCCCCGCCTTGCCCAGAGCCCAAAGTGATGGACATTGATTTTTCTCTTTCAGGATTTCCTGAGACAGATTCTACACCTTCCACAGCTTCTGCTCCTGTTAAGGTGATTTCTAGGAATTCCTGTTTGAGTCTCCAGCCAAATGCCTGTCACTTGGAAAATTTCTGATTCCTGATGAAGATGCAAAAAGAAGTCACCGGCCGTCAAACAGCAATGATGTCATAAAGACAGTAATGAGTTGTGCCTGTCCCAAAGCCAAAGTGACTTACTTGCTAGCAACAAAGAGCAGTGGCTGAATATCCCCAGAAAAAGAATCCAATTAGATTTGTGAGGCTGATGCCCTTGCTGATCAAAGCACCTGGGAGCTTGTTAGAGATGTGAGGCTTAGTCAGAACCCACATTTTAACACGGTCCCCAGACAATGCTCAGATACTTGAGATTTTGAGGAGTATTTCCTTAGATCAGCCCAAGACCATCTAATGGTGAGTGGGGCATGGTAGCTGCAGGATATTCAAACTGAAGCGATTTCCAGCAACTGGGGAGGAAACCTTAACTGGACCAACAGGAATTGGCTTTTCTCTGGAAGTTCTCTGCTCAGATGTTACAAAGTCACGCCTAGGGTATGGTGGCCAAAATCTCTTCTAGGCTCAGTCCCCATGAGTCCTTGGTTTCCCTTAGTGGTTTGGGTGACTTTCCTGTTCCCTTTTGAATCCTGCTGATGAGAATATCTCAATAAAAATTCCTCCTACTTTCTCCCACCAGGGCTCCTGCTAGAACAGGATGCCTGTTCCAGGGGTTTTAGAAGCTCTGTCTCTCCAGGCCTAGTGCCCTTGCCGCCCCAAGGTAGGGAGTACCCTCTTCTCCTAGGGCTGTGCCACATGGACACCAGATACAGGCTGGCAAAACTTTATTACTGTATTCTCAGTGTGTTTCAAGGCAGAGTAACTAGACTAGAACCCAGCTAGTCATCTCTGCCTCAGCCAGGGCTCTCCTCCCACAGAATCAGCCAAATGGATGAAGTTTGTGGGCTGCTGAAAGCATATGGTTTGCAAATACTGTAAAACCAAACACCACTTTTGGCTTTTATTTACTGTAATGTCTCACATCACCTACTACCAAGCCTGCTGATCAGGTCCACTTTGCCTTAGCTTCCGGGCTCATTTTCCCTCCTTGGTGTCTTCTCTGCTCTTTGCCTCCTTCTGATGAACTCTTTCCTCACCTGTACTTGGGGGTCGGGGCTGTCCTTTCTGCATCAGCTGCACATGCCTCCTCTCGATGTCCCACTTGACAACCGCTCCCTTCCCCCATCTCCCTGTCTGTCATCTGCCACCCATCTTCTGACTCCCAGCTTTCCTGTCCCAGGGCTGTCGCTGCTCCTCACTCCTGTGCTGCTTCCTTGACCTCCAGACTATGTTCTCTTCCCTCCTGGTCCCTCTCTTTCTCTAAAAGGAACCCAGGGATCAGAGGATTGTTGAATCAGAGTCACAAGGGATAGAGTGTATGCCACACTGCAGTGACTTGTGAGTCACAGACTGTTCTCTTGTCTCCCTCAGTAACAGATGCCCTCCAGTTCCTCCCTAAAGCGAGAAGGGACAGCCCCCCCCCACCCTACCCCCGTCACTTACGATCACCATCCCTTTCAGCCTCACTCTTCCTTTCCTATCTCAGAGCACACACACACACACACACACATACACATACACACATGACTACCGACACCCTCGTAAGTGCCTTCTGTTCTGACATCTTTACTTCCAGGCTCCACAAAAGCACCCGAGCTTCCTCCCCAGTGTCCCTCCCTGCCCACAGGCTTCTCTGTGCTTTATTCCCCAGGTTGGGCACCAGGACACACAATTCTAATTTAAGGTGACAGAGGGACAGCAGCAGTGGTGTTCCTCTTCCTAGGTGGAGAGAGGCCTACGGCTCAAACAGAAGAGGAAACTCATTTCCATGAAGCTCCCGTCTGGGTTAGAGTCAGTCTGTCAATCTATCTATCTATCGATCGGCAGTCAGCGCTCTTGGCTTCCCTCACGTCCACTGGCAAAGATGTCCTCAACCACAGAAGATCAGGAGCAAAACCCAATTGAGTTCCACAGAGACACCCTTGTAGCCACAGAGTGAGGCTGCTGACACTTCTCACATTTTCCGCCAGGGCTTCTCCAAGCACTTCCAAGAATCTAGGCTGCAGCTTTCTTTGCAGCTAGGGAAACAGAAGTTACATTCAAGTAAGCCACAAGGGCCTGTGGAGAACCCCTGTGTGTTCCCTAGCACCTGGCTCTGCGGTGTCCCCATGTTCTAACTCTCTTGTCAGCCATAGGGGAAGAGGATTACCCAAGGGACAGTCTCTGATGGAAAGTAAAAGTCCCAGCCAGACATTGACAAGGCCTGAGTTTGCAGGGTTCTCCCACACCAAGCGGAGCCTCCTGACCACGCCCTTGCTGGCTCCCTGCTCAGACTTGCCTGGTGCCTAGAGCCCTGCATCTGCTACGCCTTAATTCTCAGGGTGCAGTGCCTGCTCTGTGCAGACCCTATAAGTGAACAGGGCCAGGTGAACTACCTAACGTGCCTCACCAAGCCCAGCCTTGCCCTGTCCATCCATCCCTGGGGTGTGATCTCTGCTTAGCTGCTTGCTCTCTTAGAAAATTCCCAAGCCAGGAAAGAAGCCAGGAAAGTTCAAGAGCTGGGAAAGGCCATTTCCCTGCCCTGTTCCCAGCTCCCCACTGCCCCCTTAGACAGAGAAGAGCTGGCAAAATGCCCCCCTCTCCACCTGGGTTCCTTCTCATGCCGGTCAATAAGCCAACCTGCCTGCCAATAAATTACTATTATACAATGTTGTGTGTAGACATAGGTATACATATACATGTTTTGTGTTCACAGGGGCACACATGCACATGTATGCATGTATATGTAGTTATAAAGTTCAGCTTTCCCCCCTTGCCCCTCCCTGTCTTGCAGGCAGCTTCAGACGAAGAGCCCCCAAACCTCCCAGGACGACTCATCATCGCGTCATGGGGGCCACATAGTTGGCGGGGAAAAGACCCAGTTTGTTGTGCAGACGGCCGGTCCACCAAGATGGGTTGGAGCTGTCCAGGACTTCAACCACCTCTCCGCTTCGGAATCCCAGCTCGTCCTCCTCCAGAGCCTCAAAGTCATACAGTGCCCTGGCCCAGCGCACTCGCTGTGGGGGAGGCAAGAGACACAGATGAGCACAGTAGGCTGGTCTTTGGTACAGCTGTTGCCCGGAGGAACTGTGAGCTTCTAGATCTGTTCTGAGTCCTCTGAGCCCTTCCGAAAGGCTGGCCTTGCAGCAGTCAAACGCAGACTTGGCATGCACAGCCCTGGGCACTAAGTTACTGGGACTTACTACCTTTGCTCTCGATATGATCTTGTTCTGCTCTTGTGGTACAGGAGATGGAAGCTGGGTCCTCATATATGTTAGGTAAGTGCCCTACCACTGAACAGGTCTCGAGAACATGTGTACTAGATCACAAGGATAAAGCTCACCCATGCCCTGCTGCCAGAAGAGCGAGAATAGGATGAAAGCTCAACAGTTTGAAAACAGCAGCCTGGATGAGCCAAGCTGACCCCTCTCTGGAGACTCCTCCTCATACTCTCTGCTCACTCACCCCTGCCGCCTGGAGTTGTACGGGGTCTGTATGTCTCCGGTGCATCAGGGTGGCGTTCACCTCACTGCCGATGCCACAGTGTCCGTCGTTTATGTCCAGGCTGCCTCCACGACGGTCCTAGAGACATGTAAGAGAGGGACACTGCGTGATCAGTAGGGGTGACTCTCACAGACCGCCCCAACCCTGTGCCTTGCCTAGGGTGCCCTCTACAGGAATAGCACCCAAGAAGACTCGCTGACCATCACCCTTCATCTTGGAAAGCACACAGGAGGGAATCTGAGGGGATCTTAGATTCTGAAGGCAGATGATGGCCTCCATTTATTCAATGAAATAGCAGTAATTTGGGGGAGTCTCAGGTACTCGGACCTCAAGACTTTGATCAATCAATCAATCAGTCAGTCAGTCATCATCACCATCATCATCATCATCATCTGTGTGAGTGTAGAGGTCTGAGATTGACATGAGGTATCCTCTGTCACTCTCTATTTACTTGAAGGGATGTTTCTGAACCTGGAACTCACTGATTCAGCTATCCTGGTTGGCCAATGAGCTCCTGGGATCTGCCTTTCATCTCAGCGGTGAGGTTAAGGATGTGCTCCCAGTGCTAGCTTTCATGTGGGTGCTGCGAATCTGATTTCAGGCCCTCTTGTTTGCCTAGCAAACACTTTATCCATTAAGCCATCTCTCCAGCCCTAATTTTATTTTTTCTTTTAATCTTAAGACAGGGTCTTGCTTTGCAGCTCAGGCTGACCTTGCATTCACTATATAGCCCAGGCTAGAGCTGGGCTTTTAATCCTCCTGCCTCAGTCTCCTAAATGTTGGGATTATAGGTATGCATTGCCATACCTAGCTTGTATTGTTCTTTTCCCATTTACAAACAAAAACCCAGGAGCACTAACTGGTTTAGAGGAAGAACCATATACAGTGCCGTGCTAAGTGCTAAGTGAGCAGATGGAAAAATGTACAGGTGTGCCTGGGTAGATCATGGAAGGCATCTGGGAAGAGGTGATGCCTGGGCTTCAGCTTGAAGGAGAAGCAGACTGGGCCAGGAAAGACTCATCAGATGGACAGAATAGCTTATAAAAAGCCAGAAAGAAAAATGCTCCGAGCCATGCCAATGACAAAATGTGGTGCCATTTGCTGGGTTGCGTGTTTGCATGGCAGTTGGGGTTGGTAGAAGGATATGGGCCTGGGAAAGTAGATACAGGTAGCTCACAAAGGACCGTGTACCCTGTGGAGGAATGTAGACCAATGTCTTTATTGTGTTGTCCGTCTCCATAAGCCTCTTGCGATTCCCTCTGGAAACAGGCAGGGGTAGATAAACAATCAGGGCTGCGGCAGGTGTTAATCTGTTTTTCTTTTTACAGGTTAAGGGGCAGGAATTGAAATTCTGCTGATGGGAGAATTAGTCTTCATGGTGCGTGTGCGTGCGTGTATGTGTGTGTGTGTGTGTAGTTGGGCACCGGAAGTCAGTATCTTTCTCCCCTCCCCATCTGCCTTGTGTTTTGAGACGGGTGTCACTTCGTGAAATTGGAACTCACTACTCTCCTCAAATACCTGGTGGAAATGCTGCATATAGCGCTGCTGTGGAGGGTGCTGTGGCCCTGATGGGAACTGGGGGGGCGGCTGCTGGTGCGGGTGGAACTGCTGGGGACCCAGGGGAAGGTGGTCTGACGGCTTCCGGTTCACCGAAGGTCGGATTTCTTCTACGGTTCCACTCATGTGAGGGCCTCCCTGGGACCGCCTGTCCAGGCTGTTGCCCCGGTGACCCTGGGAGAGAAAACAGGAGATCCAGATTCATTCTCCCCCTAGATCTCCCGTTCCTGTTTATCTTCTGGCAGTAACTGTGTGGTTGTGGTGGGGCTTAAAGAAAGTCAAAGGTTTAGACCTCTACATTATCAAAAGTGGCCTCCGAATTCCCAAGTCTTCCCTGGTTCAGAAGTTCTGCCCCCTGGTTGACAGTCTAACCGTTTCCATGTGGTCTCTGCTGAATCCATTCCTACTGGGTGTGTTTGTCTCTCTGTAATCAAGCTTAAGTATTCTATGTGACAGACAGGGATAGGTGGTTTGAAAAGGACACGTGTGCTTTGTTTGGGGAAGTAAACTCACTCTCCCAGACCATCAGCTGTTTTCAAGACTGGCCTATTACAATCATGAGAGGAGAGAGTTCCCATCCAGGGCATGCAGACATTCAGAAGAGAAAGCAAAGGCCAAACAAGATCATGTGACGAATAATTCACATGCTGTCACCTGTTGCCAAGCTGCTGGCCACTCTGCCTCCAGATATCTTGACTACTCTTGACTTGGCATCCTCTGGAGCCATCATTTATAGCCTGGTGACAGTGACCCTACAGCAACATTCTGGCAAAGCCATAGAAACCAGGCCTGGTGCCCCCTGCATCAGGAAGGAACAAGGCCTCTCTGCTTCATACTGTAACAGTTCATAGATCAGAAATACTTTATTGTTATTTTTATTTAACAAACAATTACACAAAGCCTTGGGCTCCGTAAATGCTAGCACTGTACAAATATTAACTCATTTAATCCAGTTTAACGAAAACTTTATACTGCCTTTCTTATCTCTAAACACCGCATCCTACTAAGTTAATACTTGTCTGTTTCCTGGTTAGAATAACCCACAAGATCTCCATTGACCTTTATTTTCTTTCCTGAACTTCTGTGTGCTCTGGTTGGGAACACCCTCTTCTCCAATGACTGTAGCAGCCCAGCCTTGAAAACAGCTGGTGACTTGGAAGGGCAGGCTTACTTCCCAAAAGCACACGTGTCCTTTTCAAACCGCCTATCCCTGGGATTCCAGCTCGGCCACTCAGGGCTCCTTCCTTGATTACACCTGTGTTCTTTGAAAAATAGTTTGTACTTTGTATGTGTGCACACGTGCACGCATGTGTGCGGATTCCCCTGTGCGAAGTGGTAACTTCTGCCTGCCGTGGACCAGATTCTGCGGCACAGCCTGTGACTACACCATCCTCAGTCTTTATAAGGGCCCAGTGAGGACACTGCTAGTGTGCTTTCCATGCTAAGATGAGAAAACATACACTCAGAAAGCATCTTTTTATTTGTTTGTATACTGTTTGATTATTTATTTATTTACCGTCAGTGTCTAGCTTGCCATAGCCATGGCTTGATGTGTAGCCCAGGGAGGTCTTGAACTTACAATCCTCCTGCTTCCACCTCCCAAGTGCTGGCAACGGTCATGTGGCACCATACCCAGCTTCAGAAAGTCATTTTATTTGTGGTATATGTCTGTGTATATGTATACTATGTGTGTGCAGATGCCCAAGGAGACCTCATCTTTGGCATCGGATCCACTGGACCTAGAGCTCCTGGTGGTTGTGAGCTGTGTGATGTGAGGCTGGGAATATTCATTCCAGGTCCTCCGGAAGAGCAGCAAGTGTTCTTGAGTCACCTCTGCAGGCCTCAGAAAGTGTTCTTAACTTGATCAGGTGACACAGGTAGTTAGGAATGAAGTCAGGATTAAACCTATGCAGTCCCTATACTCCTTGAGGACATCAGGAAACTGCCTGGTGCTTTAGTCCTGCCCCCTAGGCTACTCTCTCTAGTAATACTGTTGTCCTGACCCTTGAGCAGCTCCAGACCTGGGCTGAGAACACTCATGTAAGACCCACAAAGAGCTAGATGACAGCACCCCCAATGTGAACGAACATTTACAGTCATTTGTCAGGTGTTTAAGGGTGATGGAAGAGATTGGGAGACAGCAGATTCTTATGCTCACAACCTCCTGAGTCCCCTGTTTATGCCGTCTTAAAGGATGGGGAAACAGGATCTGAGAGCTTTCTAAAGCCATACAGCTAGGAAGTGTTAGCAAGTGTTCAGCTCGGATTAAACCTGAGATCTGACTGCTGAGATCAGCTCTCAGCTGGATCAGAATACCATTTTTTCTTTTCTTCTTTTTTTCCCTTGATGTGTGTGTGTGTGTGTGTGTGTGTGTGTGTGTGTGTGTGTGTGTGTCTTACACAGGAATTCAGGCTACCTACAATCTCTGGCCTGGAGTTTTTCTGAGCCTAAGGTGTACCTGGTCTTGCGTTCCATCCCGAAGGAAAATCTGCTTCTGTTTGGAGATGGATGTTGTCCGGTAGTAGTCCACCAGCTTATTTAGGGATGGGAACTTTTCAGTCCACAGGAAGTAGTTTCCCTTGGTGTCTCGCATGACTTTGAAGTGCTGAACATCATCTTCATGCCTGGAGATCAAGCAAACTCAAGTTGTATGTTACATGCCGACCTTGCCCCTGCTGAGGGTGCTGTTTGCACCCAGAGATGGTGAAGTTCTGTTTGGACAGACATCGTATGAACATTTCATGGGGCCAGGGGGTGACATAAACATCTGTTTCACCCAGATAGGGCACCGATGGCTGAACGAAGTAATGATTCCACTCTTTGTCTGTCTTTGTCAACCAAGGAGTTAATTAGACATACTTATGGTATCATGGACAACATACTAGCAGCTATGCCACTGAAGAGAATTTTTTTTTTCTTCATCCTCTATTAACTGCCTTCGTAGCCTTATGTTCTTCTCCCCATTTCATGATGGAACATGACTACGTCATCTTGGGTAGGTCTCATGTAGGCACTTGTAGCTGCTGTGAGTTCAGGAAGCCCGTGGCCCTGTCGTGCCACAGAAGAGTTCAGGAAGCCTGTGGCCCTATCGTGCCACAGAAGAGTTGCTCATTCTACAGCAGCAGATGATCTAGGTACGGGAGACCTGAACCACACTCTAGTAGCGGGTTCATGAGAGGGTCCATCCACAGAAGATGATCAGATGAACCGGAGTCAGTCTTAGGTGCTGAACCAACATTTGAAAGAAATAAAGGGGTGGGGGGGCCCCGTGAAATGACTTAGCCAGTAGAAGGCATTTGTTAAACCTAGTAACTTCAGTTTGATCCACAGAACCCACATGATGGAAGGAAAGGACCAACTCCCCAAGTTGTCCTCTGACCTGTGTGTGTGTGTGCACACACACAAACACACACACACGCACACACACAAATAAATGTAGAAAAAGGTAGGTCAAGAAAAGGAAAATATTTCAAATACCTTTACAATTTTATTTTAAATTATGTGTATGTCTGTGTGAATATATGGCTCGTGAGTGCAGGTGCCTGTAGAAGTCAGAAGTTGGGTCTCTCGGGGCTGGAGTTACGGGTGGTTGTAAGCTCCCTGGTGTGGGTCTCTCCGGGCTGGAGTTACGGGTGGTTGTAATCTCCCAGTGTGGGTCTCTTGGGGCTGGAGTTACGGGTGGTTGTAAGCTCCCTGGTGTGGGTCTCTCTGGGCTGGAGTTACGGGTGGTTGTAAGCTCCCCGGTGTGGGTCTCTCGGGGCTGGAGTTACGGGTGGTTGTAAGCTCCCCGGTGTGGGTCTCTCAGGGCTGGAGTTACGGATGGTTGTAAGCTCCCGGTGTGGGTGCTGGGATCTTTTGCCAGAGCTCTATGCTCTTTACCACTGAGTCATCTCTCCAGATCTGATCCCAGTAAAGAGTAAATAATCAGAGACCTTTCATAATGTTTATTTGAAAGAGGGCAATATCAGAGTTCTGTCCTCTGCTAAGGACTGGCAGCAGAGGATTTTCTTAAATACCCTGCTATTAGAAATGGCTTGACCCATCTCATTTAAGTCTACAACTGAGCCGGCTGGCAAGAAGCTACCCTTTCTCCTAAGGAATTAATTATTTTTTCTTCTCTATGTTTTGTATAAATAAGACTCTAAAGACTGTTTTGTACTTTGGGAGGAAACACATTATATACAGAATTGTAGATTTTAACTGGAAAAGACCTTGAGGATAGTTTGGCCTGTCCTGATTTACAGGAGAGGATGCAGACTGAGAGAGGCCCAAGGGCTTAGTCAAGGTCAATAGGTAGTAAACCTGAAGGAGAACGGCCTGTCTGATTCCAGCTGGGCTGGGTAATTATGCGGACTGCTTTTAAATATGTGCCTTTTGCCACCAGTTGTGATCTCAGGTGGTCAGGAACTGCAGAAATCTGATTTGCCATCTGAAAATAAGGGGGTAGATTTTACTCTCAGCTCTGGTCTTTCTCCACAGCTAAGTCATTCTGTCTTGGTTATCAAGTTTTGTTTTGTTTTTCCAAACAGACTTTTGATTGTGTGTTATAGCTGCATGTGTATTGGCGCTGTCAATGGCTGCTTCCAGCAGAAAAGTCAAGAGGTAAAGGGCTTTGGGGAGTAGAGATTCCTCTGAAGGTTAGTAGGGGATTCCTAGGGATAGATTTAGGGGGCTTGTGTTTGGAGGGAACAGGGATTCTGGCCTTTATTCTCATCTTTAATCTGGGTTCTATTCATAGCCAAGAGAAGCCAAAAGTTAGACAGTTACTTTTGCCCGACACATAGCTATCACTGCTAGTCTTCCCTAGGAGTTTGGACACTAACAGTGGCTTTTTTTTTTTTTCAAGATACAGCATTACAACTCACAGAGGAGGAAGTATTTCTTGTGTATAATAAGTATTCACCCAGTCCCTCTCAGCAATCACAATGGACATCACGTTGTTGCTTGACATCTGTGTCTATAATGTAGGATGACCTGCTGGTATTGAGGAGGGTAAAGAAAGGGCTGTGATTCAAGTCTCCAGATCGGAAAGGCTAGCATCTAAAAGGCTAAGCAAGACAGCCATCATGGGCTCTTACCCCTTTGTGTCCATGCCGCACAGTATTTGTCAGAATAAATAAACATGGTTTTGCTTTGGGATGTATAGTATATGTCTTCAAAAGATAGTATGGAGAGCACTCTAGTGATCACAAGAAGTTGTCGTGTCTCAATACCAGGCAAGACTCTGGCAGAAGTCTAGGCTAAGCATTGTATACAATTCATGTCAGTCAAGGAATATGACCCATAATTCTTAGCTGAAAAAGTCAAGGTCAAGGTTCTGAAAATCAAAAGCACCAAAGGATGCACTTCAGACTAACAAATTGCTCGGTGCAGTTTGTGACCAAGGCCCTTACAAACAGGTTTGATTGGGGCTGGAGAATTGGCTTAGTGGTTAAGAGTACACGCTGCTCTTCCAGGGAACTGGGGTTGGATTCTCAGCATCCATACAGTGGCTGACAACCATCTGTAATTCCAGTTTCAGGAGATCAAACACCCTCTTCTGACTTCCACATGCACTTCATATATGTGGTATGCAGACATACATGCAAAACTCATACAGGCAAAATTTTATGAAAAAAGGGAAATATAAAATTAAAACAGGGTTGATTGGTTTATTAATAGAAGATCCAAGGAGTTTAGAATTTGAAATATATTAATATTGGCTTGAGCTAATATTTACAACTGCCCAAGATATGAAGTTTTAGTTAAGGAGAATTAAGAGTCTAGGGCTAATGATATGGCTCAGTGGGTGTGATGGTTTGAATAAGAATGGTCCCAGTAGGCTCACATATTAGTCGCTGGTGAGTGGCACTACTTGAAAGGATTAAGAGGTGTGGTCTTGTTGGAGGAAGTGTCCCCTTGGGGTGTCTCTCCTCCCCTCTCTCCCACCTCTCTCTCTTGGTCTGCAGATCAAGCTGTAGCTCTCAACTACCTCTCCAGCACCATGTCTGCCTGCTCGCTGTCATGCTTCCTATCATGAAGATAATGGACTCAGTCTCTGAAAGTGGAAGCAAGTCCCCAATGACATGCTTTTGTTTATGAGAGTTGCCTTGGTCATGGTGTCTTTTCACAGACACAGAACAGTGATTAAGACAGTGGGTGAAGGTGCCTGCCACCAAGCTTGATGACCCCAGTTCAGTCTCTGGGACCCACATGGTAGAAGGAGAGCCTCAACTCCTTAAACATATCTTCTGACCTCCACATGTGCATATATGTGCTCCAGTCACCACATATGTAACACACACACATAAACACACACACACACAAAATACATATATATGTTCTTTTTGTTTTAGCAAAATGTCAAGGTTAGTGACATTAAGGGGACAAAGGTATTTGCAAGCACACTCTAGGTACAAGTGCCTAGAGACAACTGGCCCATGGTTTATTAGTCCTTCCTGCCTACACTTTAAAAGTTCCTCTCTCTCTAAATAACAAAGCAGCCAGTTTATCACTGGAGATTAGATTTCTGCCCTGGAAGCAATAAAGCCTCACACCTTTAGAAACCTATCAGCTAAGGCAGGATAGTGTTGCCTGTCAATTCTCGGGGCAGGGGGGTGTGTCCTGTGAAGGCTCTGGCCTCCACCGCTAAGAGCTGCATTTCTTGCATTACGTGGTCACCAAGTCTGACTTGCTGTGTTTGACACGTTGACCACACTCCCTGCATGCAGATCTGGGGCTTCTCAGTTTAGGTCTGTGTCACGTCCCTGCCTGGACTGAGTCACTTCCTGAAAGGTGTGGCACAAGGGTTACAGTGTCAAAGTTCTTTCTGATCCCCCCTTACCGGGGGCCTCCCTTGTCTCTACTCTGTTCTTTTCAGTTTTGGTTTGCCATGACTTAGCTGGGGGAGAGCAACCTTGCTCTGTGTCCAGCAGCAGCTTGGGGTGTCTGTTTTTTTCTAGCTTTTCTTCAGCCCTCTATTGACAGAAACAGACAAGGTTAAGATACAGACTTCCTTTCCTTCTTCCTCTCCTGCTTCCTGATACTTCCTGATGTCTGCAGGGTTGCTGGCGCTCTTCAGAGCACACATAGAACACAGATCAATTTGCTTTCTGAAAATATCTGGGCAGGACAGGGAAGCAGATAAACGCACACTTTTTTTTTTTTTCAACTGGTTCTTAATATGTAGCTCTGGCTGTCCTGGAACTCAATATGTTGACCAGGCTGGCCTTGAACGTACAGAAATCAGCCTGGCTTTGCCTCTTGAGTGCTGGAATTAAAGGTGTTCACCACCACTACACAGGTCATTTTGAACAGAAATCAATGTATGGAGGAGTTGAGGACACATGTTCTGGGGAAGAAATACTTGAGTAGTTAAAGGATGCCTCCACATTTCTGATCAGTGGATAATCCCCCAGCTTCCGCAGGCTGAGAAGAATCAAGACAGGTTTAGGAGTTGCCAGTACCTGACAGAGATGGAGAAGTCTCCTGGGGAACTCTGGCTGGCCCTGATGATGAAGAATCCAATTTCCTTGCCCATGAGTAAGTTTTCTGCTTGATGTCGTGAGAGGCCTTCGTGGAACCACCTATTGCAAGACAGGGCAAAGGACTACTTTGAGATCCATGATAATGGTGCAGAGGGAGAAGGGACATGGAAAACAGGTGACTCAAGGGAGGAGGCCAGGGTCCCTGAATCAGGGTTTGGGGCATGCATTCTAAAACCTAGCAATGGCAGTTAACTGCTTCCAGGGAAGCAGTGGCCCACCGCTCTGCACTGGTTCTCTTTGTTCGTTTTCCTTCTAGAAGTTTCTCTCTAGCTTGGGAAACTTGAATCATAGAAGTTTGCTGTTGTACCAAAATGGGGCCGTGTGGGATTGGCTCACAATGGGATGAAGGAAAGAACTATGGAGAAGACAATGGGTGGGGTAGAAAAGGCTGCTGCTGGCATAGAAGCAGGGTGCCAGGCCAGGCTGGTAGACAAGGCCTGGACACCCACTCCCTTCCTGAGATGGCAGTGGCCGGGTACTTTTCCCCAGGAGCATTTAGGACAGTTCCAGCTCAGGGGGTCAGGCTCTTTGGGCTAACACAGGAGCCTGAGGGACTTGACTGTTGTGTCCAGCAGAGACTGCCAAGTATCCAGGAAATCTTGCAAACACTTGGAGCTCAGTAACTCAAACAGCAACATCTACAGCCCACTTCTTTAACTCTTTTGTGAGCCATTCCTTGCACTTCGAGCTCATCCACCTAAAAAATTGAATCCAAGTCTGATGATTCTCTATGGAGGAAACGGAGAAGCCAAATTTTCCAGAGCACATACAGTCAGGGCAGCAGTGCTGGAATGTTCCAAAAGCGTCAAACACACTGGGTTAGGTGAACAGTGGCTGCAGCTTCTGCCAGGAGAGCACAAACTCCACTCTACTCCAGAATGAGAGTTTCCGTCACAGCTGATAGAGGTTGGACCCGTCATGTCGCTTCTAGATGGCTGCTCTAATTGCTGCCACCGGAAGGCTAATTAATGCTCAAGTCCCTTTAGGAGAAACTCACGGCAGGCCTCTGTACTTCACAGGATCTGAGACCCTTGACTCCAGACTCAGATAACAGGAGGGACACTTCCTCCAGACCTAGGCCACAGCAGCAGGCTGGAGCCTGGGGTTTCTGTTGTCCCATACCTCTGCAGGACTGAACAGCTGATTGCCACATGGAGAAAGCACTCTAGTGACAGGAGTGGGCAGGTGGTGTGCACCACTGCAGCCATAGGGCAAAGGGAAGTTTGCAGCACAGGCAACAGGCAGAGACCTTTAGGAAGGCAGAGGCATTTAGAAAAGCTACATTCTCTAACTAGAGTACAGTATGGGAGTTTTGATTTTTTTTTTTTTTAGACTTCCAAACTTTTTAGCACATTTTGTGTCGGACACAGGAGGCCAGGCCAGGGTTTCAATCTTCCTTATTATTTCAAGGCTTATTTTTCACTTTATTTGACATCTTCTATTTATATTTTTGTTTGAATTAGTTAATTAATCACTTTGAAATAGGATATCTCTATATAGCCCTGGATATTCTGGAACTAGTTCACTGTGTAGACAAGGCTGGCTTCGAACTCACAGAGATCTGGGTGCCTCTGCTTCCCAAGCACCAGGAATCAATGGTGTGCACCACCACACCCAACCTATTACTTTTGTAGGTTTGGGGGACAGGGTCTCATTGTAGCCTTGACTGACTTTAAGCTTGTTATATGTTAGAGGCTGGCTTTGAACTTCTGATTCTACTTCCTATAACTACAGGCGCTAGGATGATCTTTTATTCTACCTTGGTTGGGTCTGACAGCTCTTATTGACCATCTTTGAACACCTGGGACCGTTTTTCTTGGTGCCAGGAAAATAGTGGTGAATAGAGCAGACAGGTGACTTCACTCTCAGGAAACTGACATTCTAGGTGTCCTGGGAGACACACAGAATAATAAAAATGGCATGCCAGGGGATTGTGAGTCAGGAGAGAAACTGGAAACAAAGTGGACAGGATGCAGGGGGTGGAAAGCCATTTAAACTGGCCAGGGGAGATGGCTTTGAAAGCATGACAACCTGAATTGTCACGATCCCCAGCACCCACATAAAAGCCTGCCATAGAGATGAGCGCCTGTAATCAGGAAGGGGGAGACCAACACAGGCAGATCCCTGAGGCTCACTGGCTAACTAGCCTAGCCGAATATTGTCAAGTAATAGATCAGGCAGAGACCCCATCACAAAAGAGGTGAATGATGTTCCTACAGGTGACACATGAAGGCGTCCTCTGGCCTCCACATGTGGTATAATTATACACACCACCACTGGGGAAAATAAAATGGTAATAAGACAGGTTTACTGGAGAAGAGGGAGTTGGTGGCAGGGTGAGGAGGACCTAGGAAAGGAGGCTTCTCCTGAGGAGGAGAAGCCAGGACACTGGAGGACCAAGGGGAGGAGGTCATAGAGTGCGTTCTAATGGGAAGAAGGTCCCATGCTGCCGAGGTGGTAGCTGAGAAAGTAAGGGTGCAGTCTGTAGCTGGCTGGGATCTCGTTGACAGGAGTCTGGGGGATTCCTCAGAGGATGGGTGTGTGCTCAGACGGAGTTGGTAATAGTGAAAGCAAACACTTTTGAAGGATTGAAAGGAAAGCTGGAAGGAGCGTGGTTTTGTTTTTCATTTGTGTCTTTGGCCGAGGACGTGGTGACTACAGAGAGCCTGTCAGCTGAATACCGAGTAGATGGGGAGTGGGGAGTGGGGGTGGGTTTAGGGCTGGAGGCGCCGGCCGCCGCCTTAGCTGACTGTAGCTGCGGGAGGTGCTGGGCCAGTGGGAGTGGGCCTGAGGGTGGGGGAGGGGATCAAAGCGCTTCTCTTCAGGTGGTTTTGGCAGAGCTGAGAGGTAGGTGGGAGACTGAGTGGCTTCAAGTGGTCCTCTAGCAGATGACAGCAGCGCTAAGGGTCCATGGGGGGAGGGGGTGCGGAGGTCAGTGGTCAACCTGTTGGCTCAGTGGTCTCTCCTGGGTCACGGAAGGTGACTGCCTGAGTCAACAATACTACTATGATTTTCTTATAAAGCCTATGCCCTTGGGGCTCGACCCTGGCTCTGAGACAAGATTAGATTTCTATCTAACCCTTGTGGTCAATTCTTGAGACAAACACAGCCCAATCTGTGTTTCACTTCCTCTTTCTGGAGGGAATCCCCTACTGGCCCCACCACCCCGGACTGGGGTGAGGGAGCCATACAGTTTGGGATCCCTGCTTAGGGTGGAAGGCCACATTAGGCAGTCAAGAACTTTGCCGGGATGGCTTTTGACGAGTTATGTCCAACAGCGCCCCCTTTGGGATTCTTGGAGATCCTACAACTGCATTCATTATACGTGATTTTAACAAGCTTCCCCTCTCCCCGCCCGTGTGTGTGTGTGTGTGTGTGTGTGTGTGTGTGTGTGTGTGTGTGTATTAGGTGATTCATGCACATGGTGTAAACTTCAGAAAGGAATGAGATGCCATGCAAATAAATCTTCCTCCCACCCTGGCCTTCCGCTGTGGGGTTCTGGAGGCTGGGGAGGGAGATCTCCAGAGGCAGCCATTTCTGACAGTTCCTTGGGTATGCATAGATAATTTTAGTGACGACTGAAAAAGTAAGGGGAGCGTGTGTGGGTAGACCCATCTTGGCAGGCTGGAAATACTTACTCAGGAAACTCGATATCTATAAAATTCTTAGGCACATATCCTTCTTGGCTTCCGAGCTCCGCCTTGAGCCACTCCTCCTGGTTGCTTAGTATCTAGATGGGAAAGAACAAAGGATTCTGATGAGAGGACTCAGGGCAGCAGGAAGAGGCTGCAGAGCCCAGAGGAGAATAAGCCCAAGGACCTGGATGGGACATCAGCCCGGGGCTTAGTGGGAAGGAGGGAATGCCATGGCTTACTTCTCTAGAATTTGGCTTCTCTTTACACCATTATTTCTCTCCACTTGTGCCACCCACTCATGTCACCCCACCAGAGCTCAGACCTGGCACCCAGAGACTGCCCTGAATCCCTTCTCATAAGTTTAGGGTTCTTCACACGTCTTTATGTGTGTGCTTTCGTCTGTCCGTCTGTCCATATGCACAAGTGCACCAGAGCGTGTTTATGGAGGTCAGAGGACAACTTCTGGTAATCCTCTCCTTCTGCTTTGTGAGTCCTAGGGATAAACGTTACCTATTGAGCTGTCTTATCAGCCACCAGTGCGTTAATTCATTTGTTAACTTCTTTGAGAGAAGTCCATACATAGCCCGAGCTGACCTGGAATTCACTATGAAGGATGGCTTTGAACTCTTGATCTTCCTGCTTCTACCTTCCAAGTACTGGGGTTATAGAGGTATAAAAACCATGTCTGACCAAAAAAATTATTTTTAAATAAGAAGATTAAAACTTAGATGTCGCCAGGCAGTGGTGGTGCATGCCTTTAATCCCAGCACTTGGGAGGCAGAGACAGGCGGATTTCTGAGTTCGAGGCCAGCCTGGTCTACAGAGTGAGTTCCAGGACAGTCAGGGCTATACGGAGAAACCCTGTCTCGAAAAACAAACAAACAAAAAACAACAAAAAACAAACAACAACAACAACAACAAGTAGATGTCTAAGTGAGACCAGCTTTCTAAACTGTAACGCTTCATAGTCCCGTTTTGAATTTTTGAAAATGGTGGAAATGGAATTCTGGATACTTGGGATGCCAGTTCAGGTATGATGCCTCATGCCTGTCATCTCAACACTCAGGAAGGTGAGGCCGGAGGATTTCTGTCAGTTGGAGGCAAGCCTGAGCTATGTAGTAGTGAGCTCCAGGTCAGCAGAGTGAGAACTTGAGGGGAGGGGAGTGCTCTCTACAGAGACGCTTGCCGTGCCCTTTATAAACTTAGCCTCAGATCGAAAACAAAACCAAGAGTTCTTCTGTCTCCTTACTATAGGGCCCTCCATGACTGATACCCACATGTGGTCGCCTGCCTTGGTCATTCACTTACTCAGCGGACGTGGCTGTACATATCTTCACTGATTTTAGAAACAAACGGGACACCCTTGAAAGTATTTGCCATCACCACTTGGAAAGTTTCTAAACTATGTGGTCTTAGACTAGAGCAGTGACTCTACCCAAGGGTGGCAGCATTAGAGACCCGGAAACCTTTGATGGTGCCACCAAGCCTCTGGAGTCCCTTTCCAACGGCCCCCCTCCTCCTTCCCCCTCCCCTCCGCCCCTCAGCGCGCCCCCCTTTTCAGGGTTGGAGGAGGGATATCAACTCTTTGCTACAGCTCAAGCCATTGTTTCCCTTTCTTGTGGCTGAAAATGTTTTCAAGGGTGGAGAAGCTAGGGTAGAAGAAGGAAGAGCAGGGGGTAGATGGGAAAGATAGCCTGGAGACCTCCCCAGGCAATGTGATGAGCTAGTTGGGCCAATTGTGATGACCCAAGAACTGGGTCTGAGGTACATTCTTGGAGTTTGGTATCTTCGCTCTAGCTGGGCTTTATTAGCTGGGGAAGGTTAGAAGTGCCGGGCCTTGCAGCCCATGGTTGAAAATTCTGGATCTTTATCTTCGTATTGATTAAAAAGATTTTTAAGCCAGGAAATAACAGTAAGAATGAGAGTTAAGGAGGCGCTTTAAAGAGGAGCTGGGGGTGGGGTAAAACCAGGGGAAGAAGAGAGGGAGATGGGCGGAGCCCACTGGGGAAGGGACAGTGGGGTCTGATGGGGGTGGGGTAAAACCAGGGGAAGAACAGAGGGAGATGGGCGGAGCCCACTGAGGAAGGGACAGTGGGTCTGAGCTAAGAAGAGGCAAAGACCTATTTCAGAGGATTCGAGGAAGGAAAAGCGGGCAGGGTTTTGTAACCATTTAGGATAGCTGAGGGAGAAGGGGATTCTGGGAAAAGTTTGGGTTTCTAGCTTGGGAGACTGAGTGGGTGGTGATGTCTTTACTGAAATAGAGAGGGGCAAGAGCAGGAGGGAGCCGTGGGCTTCAGCCTGTAGCGGGTGAATTCCGGCTGCATTCCTTCAACCGAGAAGAAACACTCAGTGAGCGGTGGGTGCCGTGGATGTACGTGTTGGATGTAGGAGAGCTGGGGGCTGGTGACTGGGGTTTCCAAGACGCACCCAGAAGGGGTAGGAGTGGAAGTCCTGAGTCTCTTGGATTTCTCTCTTCCACATCAAAAGCTAATGCTGGAGGAACCCATCTCTCCCGCCCTCCTTCCCTCTCTCCTTCCTTCCTTCCTTCCTTCCTTCCTTCCTTCCTTCCTTCCTTCCCTTCTTTCTTCTTTCCTCCTTCCTTCTTTCCTCCTCTTCCTTCCTCCCACAGGGTTTCATATAGCCACCAAATCCTTAAGCAGCTGAGAGTAGTCTTGAATTTCTGATCTTCCTGCCTCCATCTTCTGAGTCCTGAGATTATAGGCAAACACCACCATATCTGTTTTATGCTGTGTTGAGAAAAGTCTCCAGGGCTCCCTGCATACCCGGGTGAGCTCTCTGCTAGCTGAGCTTCACCCCTAGGCCTAGGTCCTACTTTTTTATTTTTCTCTTGAGATAGGGCCTCACTCTGTAGCCCTGGCTGCCCTGGAACTCACTATGTAGACTAGGCTGGCCTCAAACTCATAGAGACTGGCTTGCCTTTGCCTCCTGAATGCTGAGATTAAAACTGTGGCACCGTTATGCCTGGCATTGCCTCTAATGTCACTGCCGAGGTGGAAGAAAAGTGCCATCAGGTTTGTGACAGGAAAACCTGGTTTCTAGCTTGAGCTCTGTCACTAGCTGTGTGACACAGGACAAATCAATTAGCCATCTGAAATATAGCAGCAGCTCACTGGAGCCTTACAGAGCTCAGGTGAGGACAGATCAGCTCTGGCACAGGAATATGTATGTGTATCTTTTTTTTTTTTCTCTTCGAGACTGGGTTTCTCTATGTAGCCCTGGCTGCCCTGGAACTTGCTCTGTAGACCAGGCTGGCCTCAAACTCAGAACTTGTCTGTCTGCCTCCCAAGTGCTGGGATTAAATCCCTGGGTCACCAAGCTGGCAAACATTCATGTGTATGTATATACATACACATATACACATACATACATATATATATTTATACACACACATATATGTTTAATACTGTATCTTTATGAGGGAGGACTCCAGTTCTAATGGGCAGGAAGGGTTTGTAACTCTTGCAAGCGTTGTTCATGAATGTTTAGGCTGTGATCATTCGTTTCTGAAGCAGTAAAAGCATGTCCCACATTTGAGCTTGAGAATTGCTGAGAACAGAAACTTTCTAACATCAAATGTGTCTCTCAGCTTCGCTGAGGACGGGTGTGGGTCTGTGTGTGCTGAGGGGAGTGAGGGGGCGGGGAGGCACAAACTAGGTCAAGGGAAGGCAAGGAAACTCAGCAACGGCATCTTGTCTCCACTTAAAAAGCACAAGAAAGGTCCCCTCCATGCGCTGCTCCGGAATTGACAGCTTTGGAATTAGTTTCTCCTGTCACCGTTGACCCTGGGGGAGGTGGGGGTTGGCCAGGGTAACCAACGTCAAATCCTAGTGGAGCAGAGGTGAGGGGGGAAGACACGGTTTGTAAATTGGCTTATCACAGTCTGAATCACACTCTATAGCTTGCTCTCTGACCGGAAATCAGCCACAATCCATGTAATCATGGCCAGCACTCATCCACCTCCTCTGGAAACTAAAGATTGTCCAGGACCACCAGCCATTTGTCTCTACCACCTGGGGCTGCTCTGCCTGAGGTTGTGTTTCCAGAGAGGTGAATTTACAGGCATTTTATGGTATATAGAGGTTTGGTTTTTGTTTTTTAATCTCTCATTTTCTACAAAGAAGTGTTTTTTTTCTTTTGAGGGGTGGTGGCTTCCTCCTGCCATTGTGGGTCCTGAGCCCCAAAGCTTCCTGTTCTCATCTCTCTGTTGATTCAGTTCCCCTCTTTTTATACCCCTCATGTAAGCCTGGGCAAGGAGTACAGCCCAGACACACGAAGTTCTGCACTTAAATTGCTATGTCGTCTTTCTTAAAATGTTCCCTAAGAGAATAATTTTCTGGGTTACATGGCCTGAGAATAAGCTAGATGTGGGAACAGAAAGGCCAAAAGTACAGCTGGGAAGAAAATGTAAAATTGGATGGAAGTACAGCTCTTAGAGGCACAGTGGAAAGCCAAGGCATCGAGGAAGTTAATTGTGTGGGATTAAGTCGGTGCTTTTAGGCCTCTCTTAGCAGGGAGAAACGGGGTCGACTTGGACACATTATAGAAACAGGTAGGAACAAACTGGGTCAAAAGCTGTTTTCCAAAGCTGCAGGCAGATTCCAATGTAGATCGGTTCCCTGTGTAGCTACAGGTATGAACACGAAAAGTGTGATCCCCAGTGTCCTTTCCAACTGTTTATTTCCCTGAAGAACAAGGAGCAAGCCACTTGGCAGAGGTTCCTCATCCACCATCTTGTCTGTCATCCTGTGCAGATCAGCATCTAGTAAGCACCTGCTGTTTTAGCTGGGAAGGCAGAGAAGGAGCAGGAGAGAGTAGCTGGTAAGCTAGCCAAACACGTGCTTGTGCTTCTCTAATGAAAAAGTCTGCTTAATCGTTGGAGATGAAGGCCAATCAACCTGAGCACTTCCAAGTGACTTTCTAGGGCACTCAAGAGCTGTCCTTGAAATGGTCTGCAGCGGTCCCTGGGCATGTTTTCTCAGGCTGGCGATGACTGACATGATCACTAATGGCCACCGTTCAGACATGAGAGCCCTGGTGCCAGCTCTCAGTGGTTTACTCTTTAACCACTATGGCT